GAAAACCAGCAAACCAACCATTTCCCCAAAATAATCCCTTTGATTTCTCTAAGCAACTTCAGAAACTGTTGGGACAAATTTGGGAAAGTTCATCACCCCAGATCACTATTTGCTCAGAACAAGGGTCTCACGGACTTTATTGCATTTATAAACATATAGTTAAATCCAGAGTTTGGTGTAATTCACTTACCACTTGAAAATCTGTGTCAAAAAAGGGAAATAGTTCTTGAGGATGGTATTTAAGTGCTTAAACCAAAGCAGACTGTCTACATGTCCTAGCCTTATTTACATATTCATTTCTCTAACAATTGGGAAGTGACCTGAGGACTATACCTTCATTAACTCTAAAAGTGATGAATCCTGATCAGCTATCCTGTGCTGGGTGAGAAGAAAAATAACGTTGAATACCTACATTAAAGACTGTACCATACTATAGATGCATACAGGAGATAATTAAGGGTAACTCAAGGATATCCCTTCATTTTAGGATTTTATCAGTTTTAACATCCAACTTTGAGATTTTTACATTTTTTTTACATAGTCTTTGTCCATGCAACTTTCCTTTTTTGGCCCATGTAGTTACCCATGTGTATTATCTTGATGGGGCATGAATTGATAACTGAAGCAGGCATCTGATCCTCTTGCGTAGCAAGACCGCGCAGATTTTTCAAAACACAGCAAGAATCAAACAAGAGGAATCAGATTCTTTCTAATTAGCAACGCGCTCTTCTCCATACAGCTCGCTTTGCTTTTTCTCAAGGGCACGCTGCCAATAATGCTTTCTGCCTGCCCTTCATCCCTGCTTTTCTCAACTTTCTTTTATGATACAACTCTTCATAAAATGATACACCTTTCTTTTTGGAATGTGTACATATTGCCTTAGATCTAAGCAAAGAATCTATTGCTTTTTCTAGAGTATTTTTTATGTTTATTCCTAATAAAAGAAAAATCACTAACAGTAGTTTAAAGATGAACTGAAGGCAATTTAAAAGCATAGAATAAAAAAATACATATATATATACACTTAGCAGTAACAACATCATAACAAAAGCATAACTTCTACTTACGCACTAGTCATTCAGGAGACTAATACTGAGATGTTTAATGGAAACAACAACACAGAAAAAATTACCTGCTCTTATATGCACTAGGTGGTAATTTCTCTATTCTCTTACTGTCATGACTACATAATTCCAATAAATAGGCAGTATTTTAGGCCTACGGGATGGCAGAATAGCAAAATTTTTACATATCATCTGCATTTCATGGCAGAACTTTGTTTTTTGTTTAACAATATCTAAGAGTTAGGGTTTCCTTTTCTTTCCGCTGTCGTTTTTTTAATGCAGTGTCTAATATCAAATGGCGTATTTTTAAAATCTATTCATTGATTGGTTTTAGTTTTACGTGATCTAAAAACAATTCTTGAGGGCAAGTGTCCACATAACAATATTGCTTCTTTTTATGACAGTAATATTGATGTAAATATTTATGCGATAGAACAAGGGGTAATGGTTTTAAACTGAAAGAGGGTAGATTCAGATGAGATAAAAGGCAGAAATTTTTTACGATGAGGGTGGTGAAACACTGGCACAGGTTGCCCAGAGAGGTGGTCGATGCCCCATCCCTGGAAACATTCAAGGTCAGGTTGGACGGGGCTCTGAGCAACCTGATCTAGTTGAAGATGTCCCTGCCTATTGCAGGAGGGGTGGACAACATGACCCTTGAGGGTCCCTTCCAACCCAAAATACTCTATGATTCTATATACGTAAGGTTAGAAATAGGCTTCCTGCAACATTGACACAATTTGACTTCACTATTTGCAGAAAGAACACACAGGAGGCACAGACAGCCAAATCAGATCCACTGGCCCCACTAAAAGTAACTTGTATAGAAGCATTTTCAATTGTTTATCCTTCTTAAGCTGTAACAAGTTACAGAATACAATGGAATGGAATGGAATGGAATGGAATGGAATGAGATATTTCAGTTGGAAGGGACCTACAATGATTGTCTAGTCCAACTGCCTTAAAGCATATTGTTAAGGGCATTGTCCAAATGCCTCTTAAACGCTAACAGACATGAAGCATCAAACACCTCTCCAGGAAGCCTGTTCCAGCGTTTGACCACCCTCTTGGTAAAGAAATGCTTCCTAATGTCCAGTCTAAACCTCCCCTGGTGCAGCTTTGAACCATTCCCACACATCCTATCACTGGATACCCAGACGAGATCAGCACCTCCCTCTCCCCTTCCCCTCCTCAGGAAGCTGTAGAGAGCAATGAGGTCGCCCCTCAGCATCCTTTTCTTCAAACAAGACAAACCCAGAGTCCTCAGCTGCTCCTCATAGGAGACGTCCTCCATCCCTTTCACCAGCTTTGTGCCCTCCTCTGGACACATTCAGGGACCTTCACATCCTTCTGAAATTGTGGGGCCCAGAACTGCATGCAGTACTCAAGGGGAGGCTGCACCAGTGCTGAATGCAGCGGGGATAGTCATCTCTTTTGCCCAGCTGGTTTTGCTGTGTTCGATGCACCCCAGGATGCAGTTTGCCCTCTTGGCTGCCGGGGCACACTGCTGACTCCGACTGAGCCTGATGTCAACCAGCACCCCCAGATCCCTTTCTCCAGAGCTGCTCTGCAGCCATTCCTTTCCCAATTTATACTTGTGCCTGGCATTACTCTATCCCAGGTGCAGAATCCTGCATTTGGACTTGTTAAATTTAATTTCATTAACCATACCCCAATGCTCTAATCTATCTAGATCCCTCTGCAAGGCATTTTGTCCCTCCAGAGAGTAAACAGCTCCTCCCAGTTTGGTATCATCAGCAAACTTGCTGATGGTCCCTTCAACGCCTGCATCCAAATCATTGATAAAAATGATCTGGCCCTAGAATTGAGCCCTGAGGAACACCACTGGTTATGGGTCGCCATCCAGATGCTGCCCCATTCATTACAACACTTTGAGCTTTGCCCTTCAGCCAGTTCTTCACCCAGGCTCCTACCAGTTGACAGGCTGTTCTGTCAGCATCCTACACATTCCTGTAGGGCTTTGTCCAATGTCTTTCTCTAAGAAAATCTTAATTACAGTGTCCAAATGATCATGTCAAATAGGAAAGGTCACGGACAATCTTTTGACAAACTCGTATGTGCCTATATCCTGTAAATTTATTGTTGTTATTTAAGATACTTTTAAGATAGGTAAATCTGTCATTAGCACAGCACCATCCAAAATGGTTTGCATGTTTAATATTTCCACTAAATTCTTTCTTTTCTTGTTATAAATTTAATGATATATTCATTATTATTGTGGCATAATGAAAACATTCCTTTTTTCCACAAGCTGTAAAATAATCTCCTGATCTTTTGCAGCGATTGAACACGTAATGGTATTCTGCTCAGACCCTTGTAAAACTGAACTACAGGAAATTAAGATTTACTCACTTACATTTCTCCTGCATGTTAAATAAAAACTGTACTATTTCTCTCAGGACCAAAACAAGGTATCGCACAGTCATTGTGGCAAAAATGCTACTAGTCCCATGGCAGAAACATTTTTTATGCACAGCAGGACAATATATGTTATTCCAACATAGACAGTTCAGTGCCCATTACCTGTACTCCCAAATTAATAATATTCATTAGAAAAAAAACCCACCCCACAATGGAATCTATAACACCTACCAAACAGGGCCTCCCTTGCTAAAGTTTAATTTAACTCTGTTCCACCAAGCTACAAAGAAAGCTACTTAATATATGTTCGAGAAGGAGCTAGTCTGGGCTTGTTCCTCACAATTGATACTTCTTCCCATTACCTCTTTTCAGGTTTCTCTATTTCAGCTGTTCTTAGGGTGTGTAGGAGGCTCTGCTACCCACGTCTCTCCCAGCTCTGCTACCCACGTCTACGCCTCTGTCTCTCATTGTGTCTCTCCCACTTCCCTCATTCCCTGAGCAAGGATGCTTTTTTCCTTCATCTTAGTCTTCTTGTGAAAAATATAGTTCCAGCTGGGCCACGCCTCCTCTCTTTGAAACCACCTAGGAGCACCCGGGCCATTCTGATCACCACCTCCCCATAAAGACCTTAACGGTGCTGGATGCAGGTTCCATATGATGATCACTTCCCTGTTGGCAGAAGACTTACGGCAGAAAGAGTGAGGTGGCTTTCAGACAGCTCTAAAGTTTGCCTCTTGCAAAATCCATATTTGATGCTGCAAATGGTGGGTTGGGTCTCCTCAGCTGGCCCACACCAAGTATTATTTTTATTTTCAGGCACCAGTACTGGCAAATCATCTAATGCACTTTTTTTGTTTATTTATTTGCTTTGTTTGGGAAAAAGCTGCAGGGGGGAACTAGTCATAGACCATTTAGTGGGAGCAGCTGCAAAGGCAGCCAAAGCAAGGCCCTTCAGACAGAACTTTTTAAAGCTTTTTGCTGTGTCTTCTCCAGCCTGTTCCACTGGCTTGTTAGGTCAACTCTGACTTATTTCTTTCTCAGCTATCTTTGCACCTCACTTTCACATCTGTAATTGCATTCTTTCTCTGCCCTGCCCCCCTTTCCTTAATATCCTCATTGTCTTTAACCTATCTTTTCCTCACTGCTGCCTCTTAACTCCCTCAGAAACAAAACACACAAAAAAAAGATGGTGAAATCAACCTTTTCCAGACACGGATCCTATGCTGTGTAACTTGGACTACTTTCTGCATTGTGCTTATTCAGTCCCCAGTACAAAGAATACCTTTTTGTCAGTCTTTAGGTATTGGCAGCAAAAGGAAGCACGGAAAATAAAGTAAAATGAACTGTGGTAATGCCAGAGTATGAATGAAGGATTATTTTCTGTTGGGAAGACACTTCATCTCAGATGCAACTGAGAAAACAAGTCAATTGTTACTATCAACTGTTTCATACATACAATGTCTTTCCACAGAACCGTGTAATTTTAAGCACATTGCCAGTTGTATTGAAACAGATTGGTTGATGTTGTTAAGAATGATTTCTAGCTCGGTTTACCTGAGCTGGTAGAAGCAGGAGACTTGCTGCGTCGGGATGGGCCCGGGCTCTTGGTGGTGCTCCTACGTGAAGTCGAAGCTATTTTGGTATAGGAAGTGGATTTCACCACCCGACACTCTAAAAGACAAAGAAACTGCATAAGTTAGCAATTAAGAAAGCCAGCAAGATTCTGTAACAGAAAGAGCACTGAAAAGCACAAACATTTAGCCCACGCTTGTTTTCATTCATCTTGAGGAGTTTTATGGGAAAATATAAAATCTGTATAAATGCCTCCATTAAAATCCAAGTACAGTATGTACCACATCCCAGACAAAGAACTGCTGCAGTAATCCAGACTTCTAGATACCATGGTTACTGAAGGTACTTAGGAAAGCTTAATTTAACAGTGCTGAGACTACACATAAAATTTATTTGCTTTTGAAGATTTCAGCACAAGTAATGCAGTGGGGTATTTTTGTAAACAATCCAAATGCATTGTAAGCATTTTTGTCAACCCAGGCAGTCTCCTCTAGAAGAACTGGAAGGCTGCTTTTATATATCAAAATGTTAAGACGGTGTAAGATGACGCAGGTGTCTGTCACTCATGAAAGGTTTGAAGAAAGTGAAGCAGGTTTGTTGCTCCTGCTTAATCCTCTGGTGAGCAACAGCCCACATTGTATAGCACACGCGATTCATCACAGGTTGAGGGAAATGGCACTACTTGCTCATAAGAGACATCAGTAAAATCAATGAAGAGGCAAAATTACCCTCCCACTTGAGAACACTGCAAGATGTTCAGGTTAGAGTTTATATACACCCACACAGCTCTGTAGGCATTCTTGCATTACGCCTGCAAAATGGTTCTTGGCCTGAGGATGAAAGAACTTAGTGTGCATAATGCTGATGTCTTGCACTCATAAAGGATATGAAATTAATCACCAGACATATTCTACAGTCAGGGGAAAAAAAAAAAAATTCCCACTTCTTAGCCAATATACAATTAGAAGTCTGCAGCAATGTTTACACTGTCTTCACCTGACGATGTCAGTATATTTCACTTGTTTAAAAATACATCAGTAAACATTTAGCTCTGTATCAGACCTGTTCCCCATTTTTCTTCCCACGGTTAAGGTTCCTCAATATAGGTTAAGAGAAATAAACAAGAATTTTCTCTCCCTAGTCAGAAGATACCATGTACAAGCCTGCACATTATTTAGTCTTCACAGATGATCAGTGGAGCCTGTAACATAGTTTAGACAGATTAGAGAACAAAGAAATAAAATTGAGCATAACTAATTAACTTAAACATATCCACCAGAGAATGATGTCATGAAGTGTATTTCTCTTGGCTGCCCTAACTGTTTGTCTTTCGACAAGCTGTTGAAGGAAATGGAAGCAAGAACTGATGTGTTGCTGAGGGAACATCCAGCACAGCTGAGAGGACCAGAGAAATGCCTTGGTCTTCCCAAAGCTTTTCTTCCCAAAGCTTTTCTTCCCAAACTCTCCCACCTTCCTAATGCCCAATAGTAGCTAGTTTGTTTCTGTTGACATATTATGTGATTCATTGATGACTATTCTCATTTTATACTGAACAATGAGTGGAAATGGAGAAAAACATTTACTCTGTTGTAAGAGGAAATTATCAACTGATAACAGGAGGAATCAGATGAAAACTTTCAATTAGATTCCACTAGGTACCTACAGCAAGAACCTCGCATTGATATAGTAGCATAAACTCCTCCAGAAACCATTTATACATGCCAAATGCAAGCCAGTTCTTTACCTTTCTTGTAAACAAGGATTTAAAATGACCAAACACCAAACAGCCAACTCGTTTGACCTTGTAAAACTATGACATAATCCCAGTGTGGGCCCCATTTACAGGAATCAGATAAAATCATTTGCTTAGTAGAAAAACCTAAGAGTCCATGAAGAAAACAGCCAGCTACTTTCTGTAATATACTTTACCATGTAAAAAGTTTCCTGTTTCCAACATGTAAAGAAAAAATCTGTATACATCCCTCTCTTGCAGTTCAGGCTAGCCACTAAACCTGAACTCTCAACTTATTACAAGTATTAATAGTCATTCAACTTCTCTGAATGAGTATTGAATCTTATAAGCACCCACAGTCAGAATGAGGTTAGAGATAAGACTGCGTTTGAACGCGTGTTTCCCCTCATAGTGTTAGAAAGGAGCAGGCAGAACGAGGTACGAAAGGAAAGGAGGGGCAACTAAATGCAGGTCCAGGTTATTTTTCTATCCTTCTGATACAAAGCTGTCTAGGACAATACTCAAGACAGCCCTTATATCATTTCACGCAACATGTTCAGAAATTAGAAGAAAATAATTAGTAAAAGGTTATTCTTCTTCATCTGGGATTTGTCACACATGGACAAGGACAGTGTGAGTGACCTGAACTACAAAGGCTAACTGCATCTTGTCATCATCTTCCTTCTCTCCCAGCAAGAAGTGCTCCTGCTCACGTGCTATGGAGGGGTAGTACTGTTTCTGAGGAGGAGGCAGGTTGGCAGCTGGCTGCACCCAGCAGGACATTTGACCACCCTTCACTACTGATAGGCTCCTTAGAAAGGGTGATGTTAGGAGTAGTCTGCAAATTGTTCTGATGGGCTATGTATAGACCATGAACTATTATTTGAGTATACCTATACTAGTGGCATATTATCCCATGAGGAAGCCACCTCTCGCAGCTAGCTGTACATGAAAGCTCCACCACTGGAGCAGAAAGACAGCTGATCATATGTTCATATGATAATTTGAGAAATGAGCAATCATTACAAGATCATAAGATGATCTGGGTTGGACATGAGAAGATCTCTAGTCCAATTTCCCGCTCAAAGCTAGAAGTAGCCTCACATTTACAATCCTGGTCCACTTGGAGGACACTTCAACCAACCTAAGGAATAACACAGCAGGGCATAAACAGTCCAGGAGGATACTGGAGACCATCAGTGACAACTTCTTGATCCAAGTGACAGAGAAACCAGCAAGCAGAAATGCTCTGCTCACACTCACAAAAAAGGATGGGCTCACTGGGGATGTGAAGGCTGAAGGCAGCCTTGCCTGCAGTGACCATGAGATAGAGGAGTTCGGGATTGTGAGAGGATGGAGCAGGGCAAAAAGCAGTATCACAACTCTGAATTTCATGAGAGCAGACTCTGGATTCTTCAAGAATCTTCTTGGAAGAGTCCCATTGGATAAGGCCTTGGAAGGAAGATGGACCCAAGAAAGCTGATTAATATTCAAGGATTGCCTCCTCCAAGCTCCAGAACAGTCCATCTCAGCAAGCAGGAAGTTGGGCAAAAATGCCAGGAGGTCTGAATGGATGAACAAGGAGCTACTGGCAAAACTCAGACATAAAAAGGAAGTATAAAAAAAATGGAAGCAGGGACAGGTAACCTCAGAAGTAGTCAGCATGGATTCACTGGGGGAGATCATGCTTGACCAACTTGATAACCTTCTGCAATGAAATGACTGGCTTGGTAGATGAGGGGAGGGCAGCAGATAGTGTCTATCTGGACTTCAATGAGTCTTTCAATGCTGCCTCCCATAAGATTCTCATAGACAACTTGTTGATGTATGGGCTTGATGAGCAGACAGCAAGGTGGATTGAAAACTCAATGGCTGCACCCAGAGTGATGATCAGTGCCATGAAAGCTAGTTGGAGGCCAGTAACTAGCAGTGTACCCCAGGGGTCGACACTGGGACTAGTCCTGTTCAACATCTTCATTAATGATTTGGATAATGGAGCAGTGTGCCCTCAGCAAGTTTGCTGATGTCATAAAACTACGAGGAGTAGCTGATACACCAGAGGGTTGTGTTGCCACCCACAGGGACCTCAACGTGCTGGAGAAATGGGCTGACAGGAACCTCATGAAGTTCAACAAGGAGAAGTCCAAAGTACTGCACCTGAGGAGAAACAACCCCACGCACCAATATATGCTAGGGGTCACCCAGCTGGAAAGCTGCTTGGCAGAAAGGGACCAAGAGTGTCCTAGCAGACAAAAAAATGATCGTAGGCCAGCAATGCACTCTTGCTGCAAAGAAGACAAATGGTATCCTGGACTGCATTAGGAGGAGTATTGCAAGCAGGTCAAGGGAGGCGATCCTTCCCTCTGCTCAGAACTGGTGAGGCCACACCTGTAGTGCTATGTCCAGTTCTGGGCTCCCCAGCCACGTGGACATACTGGAAAGAGTCCAGCAAAGGGCCATTAAGATGATTAAGTGACTGCAGCATCTCTCATATGAGGAAAAGCTGAGGAATCAGGGACTGTTCAGCCTAAAGAAGAGAAGGCTCAGGGGGAATCTTATCAATGTATATAAATACCTTAAGGGAGGGTGCAAAGCAGACAGAGCCAGGCTCTTTTCAGCAGTGTCCAGTGACAGGACAAGAGGCAACAAGTATAAACTGAAATACAGGAGCTTCTGTCTGAATTTTTTCACTGTGAGGGTGACTGGACACTAGAACTGGTTGCCCAGAGAGGTTGTGGAATCTCCATCCTTGGAGACATTCAAAAGCGGTCTAGATGTGGTGCTGGACAACCTGCTGTACGTGACCCTACTTGAGCAGGGGAGCTGGATCAGATGCCTTCTAGAGGTCCCTTCCAACCTCAATCACTCTGAAATTCTGTGATACTCAGGGCTTTGTCCAGTTGTTTCTGGAGAATCTGCAAGGATGGAGACTACAGAACCTCCCTAGGTAAACCCATTCTGGTGCCTGACTGCCATCACAGTGAAAGTTTTTTTCTTTATATCCAATCTGAATCTCTTGTTTCAATTTATACCTATCATCTCTCACCCTCCTACCACGCACCACTGTGAGGAGCCTGACTCCATCTTCTTGATGGAGAAAAGTTGCTGCCCCATTGGCACTGGGGGTTGCTGGCAGGTCCCTTTGAAGCCATCTCTTCTCCAGGCTGAACAAGCCCAGTTCCATCAGCCTCTCCTCACAGAGCAAGTGCTCCAGCCTCCCACTGTTGTGAAGGTCCTCTTCTAACTGCCTCCAATTTAGTGATTATTTCCTTGAACTGGTGGGCCTGAAACTGGACACAGTATTCCAGATGTGGCCTCACATGTGCTGAGTAGAGGGGACTAATTACTTCCCTGTCTCTACCGGCTC